AGAAGTGGTACAGGGAAAGATTATGCACGGATAGGGAGGGAACCTTTGTCGTAGTGTTTTGACTGGACCGGGCGGAGCCGGGTTTGCCAGCTAGGGATGTATATTCTTTGGATCCAGAATTGTTGTACCCGCTTTCTCGAAAAAAAGATTCTTCGCAAGCTTGGAGGAACCCTAGAACTCGGTTAAGGCCAAGCCAATAGACGGGTTGCTCGCTCTCAACCCGTCTACTGGCCTGTTATGGAAGAAGACGTTGAGAAGATTGTGGAACGCTGTCCGAATTGCCAACTTGCCGCTAAAATTCCATAAAAGCTGAACTGATTCCATGGTGGATCGCAAGTCACCCAGTGGAACTCCTGCATATCGACTTTGCTGGACCGCTCCGTGGACCAATGTACCTTGTCGTCGTGGACGGAATCAAAAAGAGGATTTGAACAAATATATGAGCATCAGAAAAGGGAATGCTTTAGATACTCAAAACATTTGTTCAAAACGCTGTAGTGATTTGAGACCTAAAAGACTCCAAAGTTGTATTGATTTTAATTGGATGTTTCATTTCAACAAAAATACATATACCTTGCAATGAGATTATTGCTAAACTCAACGAAGACTGCAAAAAAGCAACGTTTCTCCCCGCAAAAAAAATGCTAAGGTTTGAGCTGGACAACCTCATTCCGATGAGCAAGACCGCAGCTGGCTTGAATTTTGCTTTTTGCGAAATATGCGCATTCTTCTTGAAAAAACGGAAAATTCAAGAAAGCAGAGACTTCTTCGTAGAAGTACGGTCAATCAGCTCCAAAGTTTAGCTTTTTTTCAAGCAAGAAATCTTGTTTCCCATAATTTTAATTGATTTTTGTGAAAGGCTCAACTCGAGAAGCATTTTACTACAAAAAATGCTTTTTTTGGAACATGGATGATGCACACATGCAAAGATCTTTCTCGTAGACACAAGGTTGATCTCCTATGTTTCCGGTAGATATAGAAAAGCGTGGACTTTTCGTTCTCCCAAAGAAAAATGCATTTTCTGCGATGAAAATGCTCTCCCATTTGAGATTTTTACAAAAATGTCTATGGCAAGCAGTTGTCGAATATTTACCATTCTCCACTTATAAGGCGCTACACAATCTTTCATACATACCTTCCAGGATGGAGCGGCAGTTTATGTTATTGATCCTAACAAAGACAAGGGAAAGAACAGGTATGCAGAACTGGAATTCCGTTACTTAGGTGGATATAACATTTCCATTCAAGAAGGTAGATTTCATTGCTTCGTTCATTATGCAGGCAACCGATGATTTCTTTTCAGGGCCCATAAAGATAACCTACCAAGATATGAAAGTGATCACCATGGAACATACTGAGCAGCTCGATAAAGTAACTCTCATTTGGTCCACCGTAGGAATGTACGACGACGAGAATCCGATTTATTCTGTGAAGTAAGGCTTTGAAGCGCCACAATGATCCATTGAAATTTGTAGTATATTATCTTTGATTAGTGACCTACGGGTTGCAAGTGGGTTGAGGCGAGTGCATTGATACATACGCTCGGGTGCCGCTGTGAATAGGATGAAACTCATTTTATTTT